CTCATGGGTAAATTCCTAGCCCCTGGGGCTGAGGTGGGGGGGGGGGTCTCTGGGGTTGCCAGGCAATAGCTTATTGCACCCTGGCGCTGATTAGTGTAAACGGGAGCTTAGGGGCAGACAGCAAAAATCCCCAGCCCCATGAAGGAAAAGTGCTGAGGAGCTGAGTCAGTCAAGGTCAATCCAGAGTCAGTTACGTTTGCAATGGGGGCAAGGCCCGATTCTAACCTAGGGGCCCCAGGATCAATCCGGAGTCACTCCCCATTGCAATAGGGACAGGGTTGGATTCCGCTCTCTGCTCCGCCGGGGTGAATCCGGAGTCACTCCCCATTGCAATAGGGACAGGGTTGGATTCCGATCTCTGCTCCCCCGGGGTGAATCCGGAGTCACTCCCCATTGCAATAGGGACAGGGTTGGATTCCGATCTCTGCTCCCCCGGGGTGAATCCGGAGTCACTCCCCATTGCAATAGGGACAGGGTTGGATTCCGATCTCTGCTCCCCCGGGGTGAATCCGGAGTCACTCCCCATTGCAATAGGGACAGGGTTGGATTCCGATCTCTGCTCCCCCGGGGTGAATCCGGAGTCACTCCCCATTGCAATAGGGACAGGGTTGGATTCCGATCTCTGCTCCCCCGGGGTGAATCCGGAGTCACTCCCCATTGCAATAGGGACAGGGTTGGATTCCGATCTCTGCTCCCCCAGGGTGAATCCGGAGTCACTCCTGATTGGAACCTGCGGCAAGGTCCTCAGCCCGTGATATGGCTGAGCCCCCCTTTCTCTAGGCGCAGCCTCCCCCCAGGAAGGGAGGGGTCTGCTGGTCCCTGGCACCAGGGGCTCCTGGGGAGGGGGCTGCAGGGGGAGGGACGAGTCAGAAGTCTGAGCCGGCTGGTGGTGCACACAGGTGCTGGGGAAGGGGAAGCTGGTCTGTCTGTCTGTCTGTCCGTGGCAGGGCCCCCCGGCTCGGGGGGGGGCAGGGGGGGGGGTGGGAGGGTGCAGAAAGGCAGCCGGCCGGCCGGGCTCACGCCTGCTCCTGTTTCTTCTTGACCGAGATGCGTTTCTTGCGGGCAGCCAGCATCTCGTAGAAGGGGTCCACGCTGACAGCGGCCCTGGGGAGAGCGGGGCATTAGGGGGGGCGGGGGTCCCCGAGGGGGAGGCTAAGTCAGAGCTCCGGCTTTGGGGTAGAGTCATCCCATGAGGGGCCCATGGCTCATGTACCATCACTGGACAGGCCTCCCCTCCCCCAACTGGGG